CCGAACGTGTAAACTTCGCCCTTTGATGTGAGTATAACAGTATGATTACTGCCAGCAGCGACTTGAGTAGCAATAGTCGGCAATTTAACTTGAATCGGTCCTGCGTGTGCTACCAAATCTCCAACACCTAATTGACCATATATGTTACTACCGAATGTATACACTTCTCCATTTTGCAAAAGTAACACCGTATGATGCAAACCACAGGACACTTGGATCACAGGACTGTCGCTAGGAACAGGAACTCTGGCTGGTGATATGCTGGCAATTCTCGCCGCATCCCCTCGCTCTACATCGCTACCACCGACACCTTCCTCTATTGTGAGATTAACTCCTAATCCCAACGCCACTTTTTCCGGAAATCCCTTTTGCACGATACTGGGGCCAGCTGCGCGCTGATTATTCAAGCTCTTCACTTTTATTCCATACTTAACAGCACTCGGTCCTGCTTTGCTTCTTTGTCGTTGCTTTATCTCACCCAATCGTCTCTGCAGATATTCTCGAAAGTTGGAACCTGATATGCCGTTGCTGCAACTCTTTCTTGCACATGTACGACAGCATCCACATTCCGCGCATCCACTGTCTCCTTCGCCACATCCACATTCTTGACCGGGATTCCGATCGGGACGTATACTACTCAGGCATGATATGCTATATCCGGTACATTCTCTGCATATCGTGCAAACCATACAAACGCGATGCCTCCATTGATGTTGCCCTGGAGGGCACATCCCTCTCGTTTCTTCCCAATCTTCCGCAGGATCTACACTCTCCTCTTCGGCTATTATCAATTCATCTTCTCCTGTACCCATTTCCATTGCAACTACCGACATTTCTTTATTCACGGTATGTACCGTTGTAGAATCACGACCACACTGCCCCTTATTATTTATACCGAATGTATATAGATGTCCTTTATTAGTCAACGCGGCGGCATGAGCCTTTCCTAACGATACGCGAATTATACATACGTCCCTTAAATCGGTAACTAACCCTGTCACTGGATCACTATGTAGTGTATCTTTACCAAACATTAATAGAGAACCATCTTTCGTGACTAAAGCAGTAGATCCATTATTACAAGCAACATCCACAATAAATTGACCTTCCACTTTTGCTATTTTCTTTGGTTTTACTGGTTTTGGTTGCCTACGAGCTTTATCTTAAAATAAAAGAAATAGTTGCAGCAGTCCTGTTATTATAAATTACAATATTACTATAACCTATAGTAAACTTACTACTATCTCCATCTTCCCCACGTCTAGCAGTGCCAGCAAATAGTACAGAACCATCTTCCATTACCATAACGACATGTTGACCATCATGACCAGCTGCAAAATGTGTAATTCTTGGACCTTTACCATAGATAAGTTCCAACCATCTATTAGGCCTGGTATTGCTCTTCATGCCTAGGCAAGTTCCTTTCCCGCTATATAACAACTATAAAAGATATTAAATTTAAAATTAAATATTTATATATTGTTATTGTGTTAAAAATATTTATATATAAAATATTAAGCGATCATAATAATGGCTTGAAATAGCTCTCACATAATACTTACTTTACCAGACACTGTTTTAAGTAAACCAAATTCCTTTCCTGCTGTAACCATTGCAATTTCATCGTCGTATCCCGGATTTAAAGTATGTATTGCTTGTTCTTCATCAAATGTTGCATAACCAAATATATCTACGCATTTTCTTGCCAATTTCAATGGTAGTTCAGAGGCAACTGTCACGGGATTACTCAGTGTATTTATCGTACGTACTACAAAACCTTCCTGTTGAGAGAAGATAAAAAAAAACTGAATGAATATATCAAGTAACGAAACAATATTTAGATATACAATTACATTATTTACATCTTTGCCAGCGGTTATCATTCCTAAATTTTCGCCATCAGAGAACATGACAGAGGATGACCAATCTTTTCCTTCTAACACAGCAATTCCTGTTACTATAAGCGTTTCTGCATCAATAATTAATAACTCACTCTGTTTTCTAGGTGCACATTTAAAATATAATGAATTCTGTAAAGAGTAAAATTTTATTACATATAAGTTACATATTATTAAATTATGCACTCATAAATATTTACGTGCAACTAACATTAGCATAACCGAGCCACCCTATTTCCGTTGGATAAAAGTCTGCTTTGTGTATGTATATATGTCCCCATATCGTACCACTGTGGCCACTTCCAATTTTTAGTAAACCACGAGATGTATGCAGATATAAATACTTTCCATCGCTTACAAAACTACGTTCATTCAATACCATATTGTTCATCTCATTTGGTAACTTAAGTATAGAGGTATATATCTTGGAACATTTAGGAACGCCATATGTAATCCAATCTGGTCTCATGAGTTTGCCTAATAACACAGCGTGAACACTTCTCTGCAGAGACGTTAACACACATGGCATCTAAAATGCAAAAAATTAAAGTATATAATATTAAAATATATACGTCATATTGTGCAACAAATATGATTACATCGAAGGTAAAATACCTGAATATTTTGTATTGCTAACGCTCTAGGAGACATAAGCAGAGCCGCTATTGCTGCCAATAGCCGTCCAGTGTCTCCTCTGACTACTACAAGACTCAATAAACAAGCACAAGCAACAGCTGTCAAGTGACTGCCATCATTGGCAGCGGCTGACTCAGGACCATGAGAAGTTGCAAGATCCAGTAACAGATCAAATAATGGATCTAAAAAGGATAAATTATGAGAAATTTGTCAATTTGTCAATTAAAAAGATCAATAATTTAAAAATACAAACCAATGACGTCATCTGGTTCAGATTTAAGGCCTTCTGGTAGTTGCCCTTGTAAAACGTCCAATAAAGCCGACAGTGCTTTTGTACATAAAATTGGATCGATTGTTCTACTTTCTCGCATTAATGTAAAAACACTTCTTAAACCAATACCTACAATCTTTATTTAAAAAATTATTTATAGCTATATGTATACACACAGATAAATTATATTACAAATTATATGTATTAGAGAAAAATAAAAATTACAGTACAAAAGCTTTTAACAAATGAATATCACACCGATATGAAAACAAAATTATATTATATAGAAATTAATGAATTTTTTAAGTTACTTTTACCTTTGGTAAATTTTGTATAGTCGATATTCTATCTTCATCATCGCTTTCTGTATCTATAGTGTCACTAAGGTCTGGTGGTGGAGAGCTACAATTGGATGCTCTATAAATTTCAGTTGACAATTTTGCATGCTTTTCTAAAATAGCATTTCTCACGCTAGCAAACACAGCAAATGCTGAGGCATTACAAGATGTTTCTACCTCTGGTGGATTATTATAATTTAATTCTCCATTTAAATCAATCTATAATGCATATAAAAGATATGTCACATTTTATCTCAGAAATTATACAAGAGACAAGAGAATTATTAATCTCTGATACCTTTTTCTTATCTCGTTTGCGAAGAGTTTTATTTTTTTTACACTTCCTCCATTCTCCCTTATTCCTAGAAAATTAATTAAGTTTTTTATTTAAATTGATATACATAAAATGTATTTTTTACAGTACTGCATACACAATTTTATTTTATTTTATAATAAAAATTTTATTTTATAATAAAATTGTTTTATTACAAACAAATATATAATTAAATTATGATAACCAAAGTATCACAAAAAATATTTCTGTTTATTATTCTATTTGTAAAAAGATTTAGATGAGAATTATTGTATAAGACTAAAAATTTTATTATTTAGGTAAATAGAAATAAGAACTATTCCTACTGTACCTCTAGCAAAATTAATAAGTCATTAAAAAGGTTCGGATAAGAAATAAAAAGGAATAGAGAGACAAATTATTCTTTAATAAATAAAAAATTTGAGGTTACGTTCTACGTTTACAAACGCGAGCGAATTTAGTTAACGCCGTCAATTAAAAATTTCTTCATTCGGTAACTAAATTGCGCAATTCCACGGAAACGTCGAGTGATCGGGCGGCAAAAAAAACCGATTGGCGGCAAAGTCACCTACGACGGCGTCAGGTAAACAAATCGTGGGAGAGGTTATACGTCACACTTTCGTCACACCTCTGCGCCTCGGCGATGTTCTTGAAGAGATCGTAAAAACACTTGGCGTAGCTCTCGGGCTCAGGTAGCAGCCTCTCGTTATCCCCGGACACCATGGTTCGTGCAAAACTCCGAACATATGAGTCACCAAGTCATTTTCGTATCGCTATTGATCGTTGACACTCTCGCTGGCCGTCTTCCCCATGTGATAACGTTACGTGTCCCGGGGAATCCTGGCAAGAGAAAAAGGGGTACTGCGGTGACGCGACGACGACGGTGAGCACGATCGTGAGACTCGGACTCGGAATGTCCCGCACGGCCCCGGTGATTTACTTTGCGTGCCGTAACCACCGCAAGATTCAAAAACAGGACGTCTTCGCTCCGTTCCGCCGTTAAGTTCGTCTTGAACAGTGCCAGAACGGACCGCGAGTCCGCGAGTACTCGCGACTTCGATAGTCGAACGGAATTATCGCGTGCGATAACGAGCGAATAACCACGAGAAACCGCGCGAACTTTGTAACGCCGCTTAACCGCTTGCGTCGCGTCGCGTCACGTCGCGGCGGATGGATATTTCATGTAGACCAACTTAGACGTGAAATCGGTGAAATGTCATCGAGTTGCCGCACGAGAACGAGAACACGTCACACGTATGTTTAGAAAAACCGAGAGAAACATTTCACAATAGAGCGCGTCTCTCACGTAGAATTCTATAAATATTTATTATTCACGTCACACTTGCGCATCCAATTATAAGAATATTATAACCGCAGATGAAAACAATGAAGGATACGATAAGGCTTATCGCTCTGAATGCTTTGATATTCGCGAGAAATCAATAGTTTATTTAAAATTCACAAACTACCGGCTTTTGCAAATTTTAATCTTTCACGTATACACGACATTATACGTATTGTCAGCGACTCGGCTTTTCCGTTCGCTCCGAATGAGAAAAGACGGCCGTTTCTCACAGTGCGCGAGATCAACTTATTTACCGATGTTGACGAGCGGCAATTGTTACGACGAGAAATGGCATTGAGGGGCTGTCGATTTACGCGGAATCTCTCGGGGTTTCGGTGATCCCGTACGCGTGCGTCTCGCACCGAACACAAAATGCGATACGGCACAATCTGCACGGGTACGGCTGCGGTACGATTCGATAACGTGTCACGTCGAGATTACGAGGACCATTCGTAAAATCTACAAAGTATGAGCCGAAAATACTTGCCACTGTGTGACGCGAAGTCGACAGAATATTATCAAACGCGATAAGACGCGTATATGTCCCGCTTTTTGTGCTACATGGTAAAATCGCTATTGTGTGGAATAACAAGGACATAACCTCAAATGCGACGTTTCTCAATTCGATTTCGTGACTTTTGATCCAATGCTGAAACGCATTGTTTTGCGATTCTAAAAATTTTATTTTTTCAATCCTATTGTTTCTCAAATCGAGACACGCAAGATGCATATCTGTATCTTTTCGTAAAATTGCGAGAAAGCATCTGTAGTAATGTACATTAGTTTACAAAAGATATGTCATTTTTATCTAATCTGTTTAATTTCCTATCGTGACAGATCAAAAAGCGAAGGGAGCATTTATGATTAAATACAGTCTACCAGCTGAAAAAGGCAAGTTTTAATGAAGAAGACTTAAACCGAGAAATAACGTTGCGTTTAACTTGCATTTAGTCATAAAATTGTAATGTTGAAGTTATGTATGCAGATAAGCAGATAAAAGACGCTTATAATATTATCATTATAACACATGGTAAAAGGATATGACTTATCATGATATTATCTTTTTGGTAAGTGGCATGATTTTTAAATATATACTTTGTTAAGCGGTATTTATCATTCAAGTTCTACTTTCAGCCTGGTCAGATGCAAGATTTGATAGTACGATTGATGTATCACTGTTCTGTAAATGTAACCTAAACCATAGGCAATAACTTGCTAAAGGAATTCTAATAAACCAGTGGGAATGGGCAATTGTTTGTGTAAAGATACTCCAGGGATATATGACATTGAGACATATGGCAGAAACAATCATGCAGAAACTCAGAATACCATAATACCGGAACCAAACATAAGTATAGTTTCGGCATACCCTTGCTTTAAATTTCCTACATCGTCACACATTGACAAACTTGTATTGGAAACTCTCGGAAGTCTTGATACTCTGGTAGATAAGTAAGTAATTGATTGACGATATAATATGTATAGAATGTATCAGTTTCTTATACGACATGCTTATTTGCATTTGTTTAGTGATCATGAACCACCACCAGCAATGTTAAAATTAAATGCTATTGCGGACAAGGAAGATGGTTGGATACAAGTAGTTGGTTCTATGGTCAATGTTATTCCAATGAACAATCCATTGGGTCCTTCGGTTATAATATTATTACTAGATGATTGCCCTTTACCTTCAAAGGTTGGAATTTACTTGTAATTCTTATTACTACCAGTATTTTTAATTTACTAAAAAAACAAACAAGAGCAGCAGCAGTGATAACTCGTTTTGTTTTGTAGGATTCTGTGTTACGATTATCAGACATGTTTCAAGTGCCTCAAAAACTTGAAAACATGCTAATTACAACTACACAGCAACGTAATATATGCGTAGTACTTGGTTGTATTGCAGAGAAACTTGCTGGTCCTAGTAGTATTGCGATATTATCTGATGCTACTTTAGATTACCTAGTTTCAAATCTAGTATGTTATTTAATTAATGTTAAAGTTTAGACATATTAATATTCAATAATTTTTAATATAATTTTATTTTTTTAGCGAAAAGATGTTGAGCCTTATGTAATGTTATATTCTTTGATAGCACTAGAGAAGTTTGCACAGACAAGTAAAAAAAATATTTCATTATATATAAATTATATATAAATCTTTTGTGTCTTTTGTCATGACTAATTATTGTTTATATGTACGACAGGTGAAAATAAAGTGACAATTAAGAAACGTCTTATGGCAGAAAAACAAAATCCATTATTAGAATTGGAAAAATGGGTTACAGAAACGCATTACGTTCGTCGACAAGTTGGTTTTTGTGCACAGTGGTGTTTAGATAACTTATGTAAGTATGATGTAATTTCGTTAAACGCATTTATCTGCTCCACTTATGCCCAATTTCTTTACGATAAGTTATGCCCAAGTTATGCCTCCACTTATGCCCAATTTCTTCTAGATAAGTTGCGGATAACATTATCCAGGAAATATCTCCACCATTGTATTCTGAGAGATATCTCTTGGATAAAGTTATCTAGAGGTGAAGAAATTGGGCATTAGTAAGTAAAAATAAGGTGTATTTTATCAATCTTTTTTTTTTTAGTCTTAATGGAAGGTAGAAAATATTCCCACGACTCCGTCGATGTGACTGGTATTAATGTAATGTTAAATACGAAAGATGTAAGCGAGTACCTGAAAATATCACCTAATGGTTTGGAGGTAGATGTTCTGTTGTATCTATATCTTGCTAGTGGAGATTATATTGTCGTATTGTAATTATAATAAATTGTTATATTTTAGGCACGATGTGATGCATATTCCTTTGAAAGTGTACGATGTACATTTCAAGTAGATTCAGGAATATGGTATTATGAAACATTGATAATAACTACAGGAGTTATGCAAATTGGATGGGCCACAAAAGATAGCACGTTTTTAAATCATGTAAATATCCATATTTAAGAATATTTAGTATTTTTATTTAAAAAATTATTGTGTATATAGTATTATTACTCCATAAAAATTACCGTGTTTCAATAGGAGGGATATGGTATAGGAGATGATGAATTTTCTTTGGCCTACGATGGCTGTCGCAGACTGATTTGGTATAATGCACGAAGTGAAAAATTTCACGATAGACCATGTTGGAAATCTGGTGACATCTTGGGCTGCTTATTGGATTTAAACAAACTAGAAATAGTATTCTCTATCAATGGTATACCACTTAAACCATGTATTCAAGTATTTAAAACAGTAAGGTATATATATATATACTTTTTTTTAAATGATTTTCTATCACATGAATATCCAAACAAAGCCTCTAATGATATGGTTATTTTTAGGTCTGGATTCTTTGCAGCAGCTAGTTTCATGTCATTCCAACAATGCCTATTTAATTTTGGACATGTACCTTTTAAATACCCACCTACTGATCGAGAATTTCAGAAATTTAACGATTATGCTACATTGAAACCAGAAGATAAGATTGTACTTCCTAGACACATATATCTGGATCAATTGCGAAGGCTCAGTGTTAGAGAAGATTCCTGTACATTATGTTTCGATCAGAGGGCATCTGTGAGGTTATTGCCATGCAATCATAGGTAATACAATTGTATTCAAATTCGAGTTTCATAAAACAACAATTTTTTACAAGAATATATATAATAATTAATTTATTTTATACAGAGGATTCTGCCAAAAGTGTTCAAAACAACTGATTGAATGCCCAATGTGTAGAGCTACTATCGAAGAAGTAGCCTCAGATAACATATGACATCGATCATTTCATATCAATGTTTACGAATTCTTTCATCATTTCTTTTTCGTCGTACAATTTTTATGTATGAAATATCACGAGATAATCATAATTATTGATAGTTATTTACGCCGTATATATACAATTATTACGTGTCACATAGTATTTTTCTCTATGCAATACAGAGCATTAATAAATAGAAAGAATTACAAATTAGTTATAGATAAACGAATTCCGTGATAGTGCATTGCAAAGATTGAATAAGTTTATATTTTAAAAATTAAATATTGATGCGTAAACAAGTGTTTTACAAAGACAAAACATTCTTCTCGAAACTTTTCCATATTTCTCTATACTTTTTCTACTATATAGATTTATAATAAGATGCTTTGTGATTTAAACGATATCTTCATGATTCTCATGAATATTAACTTCAAACAATTAAAATAATTTATAAATGGCTATATATATTAATTAAATTAATATGATTAATGAACAAAGAATTAAACAGATGCAAAAAAGTTATAATAGATTGGATAAAATTATAAATCAGAAGGCGAGCATAAATCAGAGAAACTAAAAGCTCAAATTCTATATAAAGTACTTTTGATAAAAGTTACGTATGTATTTGAAAAGCAGATTTCTAAAATGCATTTTGTCCAAAATTTCGTTTTTTAAGTTAAAAATGGTGTTCATTGTTGAAAGATTCATATTTTAAGCTATTCCATGGTGTTCTGAAAACATTTCTATATCATTAAGGCTAATTCTACAATATGCTTTTTGTTTCCTGTTTCTTGCTGTTTGTTTCTGTTTGTCTTTTGCCTTTTTGATCAAGAATGCAAGAGACAAACAATAAGAAACAAGAAACACATTGTAGAATTAGCCTAACTTATGTGCCGAAAAAAATCTTGAAGTTCAAAGTACATTATGTTTTTTAGAGACAAACAAAATGTATTTGTAACATTTTTAACAACTGTTTAGCAATTTTATTGTATATTTCACATCTTACTGATTGGCATATTGTTATTTTTTGTAAGGCGCACAGTTTTCTTGTGGCTTTCTTTCTCTTTTCTGAAAATTATGAATTTTAGATAAAACGCGTTTTAAAAATCTGTTCCTCATTTGTTATCACAAGAAATATATTAGTCAAATATAACTTGTCAGTATTGACTAATAGTTTTCATGATATCGAATACAATGATTACTCTATCGATTGTGTTTATAGATCCTCGCTTTGAAACTTATGACTGAATCATAAAATGTGAAAGATTATTTATTTACTAACTCAAAAATATATTTCCTTTATTATAAGTAGAAATAAAAAAGTTCTCAGATTATATATCTTCGAACTGTTTAAATATTTGATAAGTTACATAAGTGAACATTTATAACTAGTGATATAATGTAAATTTACTTTTAAGGAACTGTGAAATAATAATAGTATATATTATTATATTAAACACATTACATTCACACACATACACATATTATATTCTTGGGAAAATATAAAGAGAAATTTAATGTTTTATCATATACATGTATTTTGCAAACATTTTTTTATAAAGTCTTATTTTTGTTATCAAAATACCTCTCCCATTATTCTAATGTAAATAACACCCGATATTTCATCTAACAGTGAATGTACATTGTAATTCAAAAAATATCTCATTTATGATCTCTACTCTTTTCAGCAATAATGTATGCGTTTCATTCAGTACCAAAATTAGATATAACAGTGTTCTACAAGACTTTATGACAAGTTTTGCTATTTTTTTTTTCTTATATAAATTAATAGCATAACTTGAAAAGTATCCGGTACTTCATTATATAGATACTTGTAAATTAATTGAATCATGTGATCAAGACTTGTTTGTTAAAACAAAAACAATATAATTTCAGATAGAAATGTCGCCATTGCTACTCGTTTGAAATGCCATTGCATATCATTAAAATAATTATTATAAAATTAAATAGTGTTGTAAGAAACTATGTGAGAGAACATTTACCTGATATATAATTCCTAATCACAGCAAGTTTCACACAAAATCAATCTATGACTGCATTAACAGCCTCCACAAGTTTCTGGAAAATAACGTATGTCTCATAAAATTAGATGCAAAAAAATCGAATCTAAAATATTTCCTCCAAAGTAGAATGATCGCCATCACTACTATGACATTTCAATTAATTTGCACAAATAGACTTATTATTGTATAAGTAGAAAATCGTTATATAAGTAATACTACACACGATTGCATGGATCTTACTTGACGGAATTACCGCACATTTGCATTTAAAACAACACATCATATTTACATATAATGATTTGATATTTTTCTTGATATTTCATGTTATTATACATCTATCTTTATACAATATTTATTCTCTACGTAATTTATAGAAAATATAAAAAATTAGATATAATTATATATCTATATTTTCATATTTTCTATAAATTATTTGTGCTCCTTTTATATACGTATTTATATTTATATATAAAAAATTGAACATAATTTAGAATGTAAGGTGCGGTAAATTTTGCTATGATTGCTTTTTAAAGCATTTGATTGATTAATCAAAAGAAAATATTTTACGAATTAACCATTCAAATAATGCTTCAAAGCATTTGCAGCGTCACATTGATCGTACCCATTAATTATAAGGTAATGTAATTAAAAGTACAATTTATAATATGTTACATTTTAAAAAAAGTATATCAATTACGCTTCGATTTTTTTGACAAAATATAACAATCATCTTCATGTGTTTTTGGCATAGACATCTATCTATAGTCTGTATATACTCATCGAAATATCCATGCTAATTTTTGAAAACGTGCAGCAACATCGCGATCGCGATCGACAAAATGGCGTTGGTTGCGAAAATTCGCAAAAATTGATGTATTCCGAAGATCACCCGTCGCTTTAATCAGTATTCCCAATAAAAATTTACATTTATTATCTGTTTTAAACTGATAAAATTCGCGATTTAATTTCAGGCCCGCGTTCTGAAGCGTTCTGAAGTGACGCGGCGCGAAAATTGTCACGGCGGTCGGTCGAGTCTATTAACGATGTAATGGGAAGAAGATTGATGATATTATCCCCAATAGCAAATTTTTCAATAGACATCATAGACGAACAGAATATAATTACGATAATTTATATTTTCAACATATTTTGTGAAAAAACACTAACAATTAATTCTTTACTTAAAAAATATATATATATATTATATATTGATTTTGCTTTTTAAATAGAAATCTGAATTCACTGTATTGGATTTCAAAATTGAAATTTTAATCCATTTGAATTATTCGAATGCATATAACATTCACAGTCTATTATTTTTACCTTTTTTTTTTTAGATTTAATTGAATTGGAAAACTGCGTTTCCTATTAAAAAATTTGAATTTAGTAGTATTTATGATGTATACTTAAAAAATTGAAACTTTTTAGATAGATTGAAAGACATTGAAATGTGCTTTATACAATTCCTATAAATAATAAAAATAGATTTAAATTTTCAGAAGTACATTGGGATTAAAAAGAATTTGTGTACTTCTGAAAATCTGAATCCATTTCAATCAACTTCTATCCATTAACTCATTTATTGAGGTACAGGAAGCGCGCATTGAAAACGCACCCGCTTGGCCGCCATGAGAGTTTCCGCGACATTTCGGTTCGCAGAACGCGATCGATCGCTCGGTGAAGTGATCATTAATTTTATCCGTTAAAAGTGCCCAGCCTGGGTGAATTTTTATCGGGAGTGCCGATCAAAGTGACGAGCGAATTCTCGAATATATCAGTTCTTGCGAGTTTTAGCAATCAACGCTGTTTCGATAATCGCAACCCGATATATGTCATGCTTTGAAAGCCGATGCAGTTCCGTGAGTATAAAATCTAATGCATCATCCCTATCTATAAATGATTATTATATTCTTTTGACAGAATCAAAGATCAGTCAACTTTTCATTAAATAGTAACCCAGATAGCACATTATATTCTGAGAATATTCTGAGAATATACTAAAAAGGTCACGTCTGATATTCGTACGATATTTCTATGTCCGCAGCAACATTGTTCGCAGTATATCCTCCGAATATCGAGATGAATTTCGAAAATTTTCCTTAATAGTGTGTAAGAAATATCTATTAAAAATAATGTTCTTCGTTAACAGAATATTATTTTTAATAGATATTTCTTACACACTCTTAAGGAAAATTTTCGAAATTCATCTCGATATTCCGAGGATATACTGCGAACAATGTTGCTGCGGAATATCATACGAATATAAGACGTGACCTTTTTAGTATATTCTCAGAATATAATGTACTATCTGGGAAATTGTAATTAATAATTGAAATAATTATAATAAAAAAATGTGTAGGCATCGTTTTGAATTTACTTAACGACATGTATATACGCGTCATCTTCTGCATTATTGAAATGAAAACGCAAATGATCGAAATGAAAGATCGTGCGGCGTGAATTCGAATTTCGTTGATATCGATGATGACGCCGCGAGTATCGAACGAATCTCGATTCGCGTCGGATTAGTTAGGCGCGCGGCCGCGAGAGCGCGTCGCAGTTTGTTACAAGATGGCGGGTGAGTGAGTGCCTGTGGATGGGACGAGATCGCTCTAAAAACACGAGGGATTTTCCGCTAACCCGTGGTGTTTGTGGGTTTCAGATATATCCTACATCCAGACAGAGGATCTAGAGGACCCGGATGAGGGTGAGTAACCCCATGCGTGTACACGCACGCGTATTTTACGTGACCGTCGTCGGTGCGGCTCGCACGCACGCACGCGACGACAGAGGAAAGCACCGTTTCTACGACTCGGCCGAGTGTCGTGGCGACCCTCCTGTTCGGCGAGCATTCCGCCCCTCCCGGATGTTTCGAGGTACGTGTGTTTGTATGTGTGCCGCGTGATGTGTGGCACGCGGAATTTGTCGCGACGCTGTGTGCTCAGAGCGCGCGGCTCCCCGCTGTGGGTTTCGAGGTTAGGATCGCGGCGCGGCGCGAGGCCGGGCGTGCCGCGCCGCGATAGACATCGCGACTATCGCGAGCATTCCCGGCCGTCGTAGGGCGAAGAGAGTTTCACGCGGGGTGACTGCTCCCGCACGCACGGTCCCAATAAGCCGCGCGCGGGGAGCGCATTTTGCGGGCATCACGGGGCGGTTCTGCTCTGCTCGTCGAGAGGGGGCGCCACGCCATGCCGCGCGCCGTGTTTATCTCGGCGAGAAGGAAAAAAGGAGGATAAGGAGCGACGGCTGCGACGACGAGAAAGAAAAAGAGAGAAAGAGAAGGCATGCGTTCGCGTCGTATAAGTATCTCTCTCGTCGCCGCCGTTGTGCTTCTCGGCGAGAATGATTGCGAAAAAATGTCAGTCGAAACTGGATCGCCTTTTTCAATAGGAGCAACCACCTGCATTATAAACATGGATTACTCACTGGCGCCAGGCCGATAATGATCTTGAGAGAATTTACACCGCGCCAATATTCGGAGTGTATTAGATGTCAATCGCAGTTGGAACGTTCCAGCTCCAACTCGACCGCATTATCGAGAAAATTGACACTGCACGACGATCGTGTTGCATGAAAAGTATTGCGTTAATTAATCTTGAGATCAATAATATAAAATAAAAATGTTTAATGCTACTATTGCGATAGATTTACTTTGCACGGACTCCTGTTGAACTCAAGGTAGACGTAGAAATCTTCCTCGCTTGTCTATAATGTAGAAATGTAAATTTATTGAAATTATAGCAATTTTAATCCCTGTTAAAGATATGGTGGAACAACCTCAATTTTGGTGGATGAGAAACAAGAGTCGAATATATGATTGATATATACAAGGCACATGTGGATACCATTATAACTGAAAACGCATAATGACCGTCCGCCGACGTCTAAAATACAGTGTATTCGAGGCGCAGAGGAGTTCAGACGAAGGTCAGAGTCACGAAGAGTGGCGGCATCTCGACAGATTAAAGAAAACGGCGCAGTTAGTGCGCGCGATTCCTTCCCCTATCGGGGTTACTGATCTCGGGTTTCTCTTCTATTTGCGAGTGCCATCTGTCGTAAATAGGGTCGTATCAGGGATTGCTGGTCCTTCCGATGATCCAGAAACTCGCTCGAGTTTCCTCACGTTTGTAACAAGAAGAGCTGCGAACGCTTACGCGGATCCCGAAGGCACTTTTCTAGTCAAACGCGAATAATTTGTCTCATGATTATGCGTCACATAATGAGCTCCAGTTCGTTCCGCTCCGAACACGCATACGCATTTATCTTCAATCTTCCTTCTCCGTTTCTCTCTCATCCTCGCGAGTATCTTCTCCGTCGACGCCGACCAAGCTGGTCCTAGCCGCCTTTATCTTGCATTCCAGAGACCGTTTTATCAGCTCTGCGCCGCTTATATTTCTAAACGTGTCTAGATAGAGAGAAATATTCGGATCAGTAACCTTCTCCGATGCCCAAGCCCACTTAGATCTAGATCGAAGCAATCGAAAAGACATTTTGCATGATGTTTATTGCATACAGTAAACGTTATAACCAATCATGAGTCGTTGGTGCATGATAACCGAATTTTTTCTATGATTGTATTAAAAAATGTGATTTTTATCATTTCATAAATGAGTATGATACAAACATCTATTTTAAACAGGATCTGTTATAAAATTAGCGCATAAAAGTTGATTGATAGGTTTTTTATTGTAGGTTTTTTATTGTATACCAAAAAAAGAGTTTATATTAAGAAAAAGGAGAATAGTTATTAAAAGGGTTTCTTAATTAATTGTGATTAACGCAAATTATTCTATAATCTTATTGACTATATTGTCGTCTAGACTACGTCGCAAAATTTTAATTCGATGTATCGACAGAATTGATAACTGAACAGTCGTATAGGTTTAGTGAATCCATAGATAAAACTTAATACGGATATTCACCTATATTTACACATCATATCTGATACCTAGATTTACACATCATATATAAACAAATTTTTATAAATAATAGTACAAATATAATGATAAATAATGATAATATTCGAGGGAAAGTTAAACAAGATACAACTTAATTTAGAGTAATAAGATGAATAATATATGAATAAATACAAGATTCATATTATGTGTCCAAAATGGAACATAGAAAAATAGCAAAAACTAAAGCTCATTTTTTTTATTTGTATTCTCTAATTTAAAAATATATTTATATTGACGGAAATTTATAGAGAAATTTTTTATTGAGAATACTACACAATGCTGTGCGATAATGACCGTGGCAACCATGGTAACTGTCGGTAATCGATCGCGATTATGCAAATTATTTGGTGTCTGGTCGTGACAGTTACTGTATTAGATGTTTTTGAGCATCGATGACTCCTCCTTTTCATCGTCTGACGAAACAGTTTCGATTATTTGTATTTAATTTTTACCGTTCGCCTTTATCTTATTTTATCTTGAGTGAACACAAACGATTAATGTTAAAGAAAGTAAATTTAAGTATTCCTAAAGAAATGGGTACTTATATTGATCAGTGATTTACAAAATATTACGTTTTGTCAGAAGGACTTAAGCTTTCTTTATAAGGTATTCTTTATATGGGAAATAATTATGAAATATATCTATATAAAATATAGAAGAGATTACGAATCGTATAAATTAGTTGTCATCTTTAATGATGATAATATAATTTTCTGTCATATCATCCGTTTCTACATAATTCTAATTTGTCAGGTATTTCTTGATATGATTCATGAAGTTTTTACAAGTTCTTCTTTCAGATATCTCGTCGGATGGGATATCTTTTTCTTTTCGCCGCGTAACGTCGACTTTATCCGACCGGACGTGAGGATGGATAAGGGGTGGTAGAGATGGGGAAGAGGAAAGTATACGAGGTACGGAACGAGTATAGGCGGATGTATAAAGAAACTTTAATTTCTTGGCATTGCGTGAAGTTCCTTGCCCTTTCAGCCTTTTCGGTTCGGTGGTCTGTTTTTGATAGGAAGACTACGCCGTCGTCTAGACGCGGCCAAGGGGGTTACCTCTCGGCTTTTATAATCGCAACACGAAACGCACCCCTTGACGTGCTCGAACGCAAAAATACCAGTTTTCTTCCCTCCTCCTCTCTCATTCGCTTCCTCTTCTTTTCCCGTGTGCGTCAGTCTTTTCTATTCTTTCGTCGGTCGTCGCCCTTCCTTATACCTACGTATGGGCGCGTTACATTAAAATGATTTATTCACCTTATTAAATTCGCATTCGAGACTAGCTAAGTACGCGGAGTAGACATCCCGCCGAATCGCTAAACCGGAACTCGCCACCCTTTCGAGACGACGAACTTCGCGATGCGTTTGCATACTTCTTTTTCCTCCCCTTCTTTCCTTTTTATTTATTCCTCTTGGCGTCTCGCGGTGGATCGTTGTCGTAGATGACACCTGTTTTAATCTCTTTACAAACCATTTTTCAAATTAAATGAAAAAAGAAGAGTCTGCGATTTGTTTGAAACCCGTTTATACACATCATTCGAGTTAACTAAGATTCAGTTGAATTGTTTTCTCTTTCTAAGAATAGAATAAACAGAGGAAAACCGCGATTGAATAAATTTCAATCAAATTCTCTTAAAAATAATTTAAAATTAAATCCTTAAAAAATTATGTTACATGAAAAAATTATTTAATGCGGAAATACTTGTGAATTTTTGTCTATTATGCAGATGATGTTCTATTATGTCTTTTTCAAATAAAACAAGCGCATGTCATTGTCGCTTTATCTTTGAACTGAGCAAACACGAATGATTTCGAACTAGATAAAAACTAGGATGTGTCAACATTTTTCTATCCGTTTCTCCATCGTCATCATGGTTTAGTTGAGCCAAAATGAGTCAAGCCGAGCTGAGAGGTGGCGCCGTCTCTCGTTGGAACAGACGATCGAATGGCGGCCGATTATTACATGACATTCCTCGAATACCATTCCAATCTCTCCCTCATCTCTCGCGGCCCGTCCGGAGTCTTCCACCCTTTCCTCTTTTCTCTTCTCTGAGTTACTCTCTCTTTTTCTCTCGAATTCACCCTTTCGACAGCCTCTCTCTCTCGTAGGTCATGCCCGAGTCTCTCTCCCAGTATGCAAGAGGCTCCGATGTCGAAGTCGACGATACAAACGATAAGCACTTTGTCCTTTCATGAATTGCGTTAATCTTTGAGGAGTAATGTCAGGTCATTTTAACGTTTCTTTACGTATAAAGGGAATAAGGTATAGTTAGTTTTTTCCTGTATAATCCTATTTTGTTAAATCCATAGGTTTAGTGATTAAATATTATTAAATTTTTACTTGAAAAAAATACAGTTAATATATGTTTATGTACTTTTTCTATAGCTGTTCTATAAAGTATTTGATATCTCTGAATTACATAATTGTAGTCAGAAGTCTAATAAAAACGTTAGTATCATTCGATTTTGTTAAAGAGCAGTAGGTATTTTTATATAAATTTCTTAAAAAATTTTTTTATTTCAAAATATGCTACGATTTATTCAAAGAAGTCTCATCTAGAAATCTCTTAGATATTATTATAGATTCAATGATTGTATCTTGCGCAAAAATTTATGCGAAAATTTAAGATTAATATTTCACATTTCGATTATTCGTTCACATTTCCTTTTACGAAATAAGTTCAAAATTGACCGCGCCCTTATGGGAGAATCAAGCGATAAAAAGCTTGTGATATAGAAGATATTTT